AAAAAAAAAAGAGTATGATGGGAAGACTGCGTGTAACGAGATGGTATGTATTCGATCGACATGAATCGAACGAACAATAAAAACGTCAACGGAGCAACACCGATTCAATGGACAAATAGATTAAAAAGCTGATCAAAATCAAGTCTCGAAATCAAGATCAGCTAAGATTTTGATTTTTCGCGATTTCAAGTCGACACGTATCATAGACTCACCTCCTTTAAACCGTTTTTCGGTATATTTTTGTCAATTTTTTTTGCTTCAAGACCACGGTGCCTACTTCAGAAAAGAAAAAAAAGGATAAGAGTTATCTAAGAGTTTACATTCTTATAATTGACGAGTAAGTGTATCTATTGTTTTAAACGTTCACTGTTTAGAAAGACCTATCTTCACCGAAAATATAATCTGAGATCTTAAAACGCAGCAACGGCGACACGAATTATTCGACTTCAGCAATTGGTCTCTCCTTGTGATTTAGTTCACACCTGGCTTACGGCTATCACCGATTCCTCGGATGAATAGAATCCAAAAAATTGGGAAGTATCAAATGCTAACGACAAGATTGCATAGGTTTGAAATCGAGAGGACTTAGTCATTTGAAAAACTGTCGAGATGAGGAAAAAGGGTGAAAAGTCTGAATGAAAGTGTATGATTAATTGCATGTCTGGTTTTTGCAGGCGCTTTTTGCGCAGGGATCAGGCAAAGATATTTCGATCCCTGATGTTAATTTCATTTCATCACCCGATGACGGCTTGGTTTCAGCAAGATGGCCATGAAACTAGTTACTTAAATCTTCAGATTTTTAGAGGAGCAGTCTTGCAAAGAAAATACGCGTGCTATCGTTTCATTTAAAGTTTTATAAAACTTTAAATGTTCTCCAGTAGTCCATTTTGTTTAATCCCACAATATTTTGATGTATGAGTCTTGAATTTATAACTTCTTACCTCTTTTTCCAAAATCTTTTTCGCTTTTTCACAGATTTCGTTAGTTCACTAAAAAATGTCAATTAATCTTCTGGACTTGGAATATTTGACGTCATTCTTGCGCTAATATTGACATGCATCATGCATTTTACAATTTTTTTAAGTACCTCGCCAACTTGCACTTTTAGGAGCCATCGCATAGGAAGTGACATTGCATATTTTCAAACCGAATGACTTATTCAAATAAGCTTTATGAGTTCATTTTAATAAGTTAAATTTTTTGGTCGAGGAGTCAGTAAATTACTAAAAACAGAACTCTTTTTTGTTGATAGTTACCCTGGTTGTGAATCCGTGGAGCACGCTTAGACATTCACTATAACGTTTACCGTAGTCAGTCATATTGAAAACTAAATCAGGCCAAAACCATGGTTGGAAGGACCGTTTGAGGGTGAGCTCACTGATACTGAAACAAGGAGGGGCAGAGATAAGTAGAAATATAAAATATCGACGGTGAAACTACCAAACCACGTATCTCGTTTGCGGTGTTTAAAAATCTATGCTCACATTTTATTTTTTTGAAGTAGACCAAATCAATATCATTCATTGAAATTTTCACGGAATTTTCTCCGCACATAGAGGAAAAATCACAGAAATTTTCAAGACTGGACGTTAAGTAGTTTTTCATTTAAAAAATAAAGTGTGACAGGAAGTCTGCGACGTCGCAAACCGAGATCCGTGGTTTGGTAGTGTCACCGTCGATATGTCGAAAGGGTCTACCTCCACCAATACTTTCGTACTAAGGAAAAACGCTGTATGAACCCTCAGGCGTTGCCAAATGTTTTTTGATAAAACAGGAACTCCCTGGCAAACTTACGAGTATTTTTCTTCCAATTTTTCAGGGAATTATTCTAGTATTTTGATCTGAAGTTCCTGAAAATTACAAGGAAAAATATTCATAATTTTCCTAAAAATTAAACATATCATCAAAGGTAACTTGGCAACTCTCAAATGTTCATACGTCGTTCTTCCTTAGCTCGGCAGGATAGTGGGCAATCACGCAGGACCACTAATAAAAAAAAGTCCAAACCCAAAAAACCCAAAATGTGACACTTAATACGAGAAAATGGCGAAAGAGAGGGGAAAAAACAATTTATTTTTAACAACGCAAAAGCCATTTTTAGCTGCTGAAACAATGAGCCAAATATTTAGCTGCTGGAAAAATAAACCAAATTTTTAGCTGCTGAAAAAATGAGCCGAATTTTTAGCTGTTTAAAAAATTCACCCTGCCCTCCACCCGGCAATCAATTAGGCGTTTGAGGAAAAATCGAGCTAGAATAAAGGCCAATTAAAAAATAACAAGGTCATCTTCAGAATCAGCAACTCAAAATAATTAATGTTCGCCCAACAGAATTTGAACGCAATTTCCCCCCCCCCTTTTTTTGTGGTCCTCGATGGCGATAAAAAAAATCATAAATCATAAATCTTGAGTGCAAGTAATGGTATATTTTTACTCCTGCAAATTAAGACGTGAAACGAAAACGAACAATATGTTTACTCCCTAATAGCGTCCTCGAGAATTAATATTGGGGTGTTCGGAAATTTCATGGAAGAGCATCAGTTTAGAGAACCCATACCAGTGAATGACCGACTATCGACATTTTCCCATTCGAAGCTATGGTAGAGAATCGATTATTAAGGTGTTCGTTACGAACACCCTATCGATCGACCCTTTTCCACAGGTTCAGATGGCAGATAATCGATATATCGCAAAGCACGCCACGCCACTGACCCATACTCGGTTCTCTTCGGGTTTATTAATTTCTGTTATTTACAAATTCGTATTTCATACGTTTCTTCGCATAAAAACATTACAAATTGCTCCTCATCAATATCACGACAGAGGCAGACCACAGAGCAAACATTTTTCCCAGGCCAACTTTTGAAATATTCATGGATCGATAATTTCCCCTGTGGTTTCCCGTCAAAATTGTGCAACGTAAGTCATCCCAGCGGATTTCCGCAGAGTGGGCGGGTAGGGTGGGGGAATGCACGGACAAAACAATAAAAGCACGTAATAATTTCATTTCTCCTTCAATTTCTCAGGCTCATTTGATAACCACATCACGCTGAACTGGCTCGAATATGTGGACCACATTTTGAAATAAGGAGCCAATATTTCTAGCACATTTTAGAATCAATGTATGTGCCATTGGATTCCGCATGCAGAAAGGTGTTTTTACAGAGGAATCAGAGATAGTTACTTACTCGTAAATAGCTCTGACGTAATCCGAGTCGGTTTTTTCTTGCGCGTTAATTTCGGTACCCATAGCGGTCTCTGCAAAAGAAAGGAAATTAGAACTAAAATTACGAACAATAATGATCATCGTCATAAAATTGAATAAGTCTGGGCAGTCCATATTTCAGGAGAGAAAGAGTACACCATAATATAATTTTCGTCAATGCTGATTTATTAGTACATTGCCGCGTTGAGGAAAAACGTCGTTTGAATCTTTAGGCGTTGCCAAATTCCCTCTGGTAAAATGCGAATTTATTGGATAAGTTTTAAATATTTTTTTTTGAAACTTCCCAGAGTATTTAGTTGGTAATTTTATTTAAAAAAACTGAAATTTTCGAGGAAATACATGCATAAATTTCGTCAAAAATACATGTTTTATTCGTGGAATTTTGGCAACTCTTGAATGTTCATAGAGCGTTTTTCCTAAGCACGGCAGTACAGCACCTAATTATTATTAAATCAATAGTTTCGACATTGTACCGAGAAAATAATTTACGTGCAGTGTAGGCTTGTGATGTTATAAATGCCCTGCCGCACTTCATTTTTCGAAATACGAATGGTCATCGTTTTCGTTCCGAATTCCATCCGATCCATCAACATTTTTCTTTGAAAATTTTGCAAGTAAATGTCAAAACTAGTTTTCCCAAAGGATAAAAAAAAATCCAAACAAAGGAAGACTCATTAAAGTAGGTTACTGAAAACTCTACATATGTATCATGCTCAAGTACCTGTTTATTACGATTTTAAGGGCGGGCAAAATTTTAGTGCATTTAAATCATGCATCTCTCAGAAAATTCCTAACGTCGCGATGAAAATCAGTACTGGTTTACTTCATCGCACTATAAGCAACGCTGGAAATAACTTAAGGTGTAAAAGAAACAATTAAAGCCTTAGTTGGTGTCGCATGTAACTGATACTAAAAAATTGTTATATAATAACGCCTGGATGCAACTATTCGGGTCCTATGGATGTCCGTGTTGCATACGAGTGGAAATGAAGGCGTTTTGACTTAAGACACTAACCGCCTCACCAGCGACGCTCAGTGGAGCAAGTCAATGAGGGGAGTCATACAAAATGTGGAAATATTAAAAGCTAATATCAATGCTAATACTGCCGTGCTAAGGAAGAACGCGCCGTACGAACCCTCGGACGTTGCCGAGTTTCCTTCGATAAAAACCGAATTTACCGGGGAAATTTTGAACATTATTCTCCGAAATTTTCAGACAATTTTGTACGCAATTTGATCGAAGACATCTGAAAATTTAGAGGAAAAATATGCTTAAATTGCGTCAAAAATACATGTTTTATCGAGGGAAATTTTGGCAACTCCCGAATTTTCATACGGCGTTTTTCCTTAGCATGGCAGAACACAGAGCGCACATGTTTAGAAGTGGTTTTATTGATTTTTTCGTACAGTTTCCCTCGAAAAGCACCCCGAACAATTTATAACTGGAGGTGGTGAAATAAAAAGTTTGATGACCACCCTTCAAGTTAGAGGGCACTAATTCTGCAAAAGCTTATAACATCATCCAAATTCATCCATGTTGAATAGAATAGCCCGGCTTATTGATCCAATATTTTTTAGAGTTATAGGAAGTGGTAAAACATCAAAAATTGTCAATCAAACTTTTTGACTCCAAATCGGGGTTTTTCCTGTTCCGAACAGTTTGATTTTATGGCACATTTTGCCTGACTCAATCACACTTATGAGTTAACTTATTTTTCTATGCCCTCAATTTTCTTACCATCCCCCTCCAGGAGCGGATCCAGCAATTTGGCAACAACGGGTTTTCCTCTATTTGAACGTATCTTAAATAATCGATTCTTGTCGGAGCACCTGGCCCCTCCAAGAATCGATACATTTCCATAGGTTTAAATGGAGAAAAACAGTATTGCCAATTTTCATTTCGATTTTACTGAGATCAGTGATACTCACCACAAATGATGTCGAGCGCGCATCTGGTGATGAAAGGATAGATGTCGAAAGGTTCGTTGTTAGCTTTGCTCTTGAGTTTTTCGACCAACAGTTGACATTTCTCGACGAAGACTTCCTGGAAGATGTCCAGGATCTTGAAGTGGAAGGTTGGGGTGATCATTTTCCTGTGTGAATGCCACTTGGCTCCTGCAAGTTAAAATCTCGTTAGCTCCTTTGTTAATGATAGAATATTGTCAATATTCAGGGTTCCAGTGGCGTGGTGTGCTTTGCGATATATCGATTGATCTACCATTTGAAACAGGGGAAAAGGATCGATAGACAGGGTGTTCGCAGCGAACACCTTAATAATGATTCTTTACCACAGCTTCAAAGATGAAATATCGATAATCGATCATTCACACCTCGCCACTGCAGGGTTCAACTCCCAGATTCTAGCGGCCTGCGGCGGTTTGCAAGTCGGCAACACTGCTTCCCCCATTTAAATATATAAAAAATATCGATTTTAGCTGCCTCACCAAGAATCGATTTTTTACATACATTTGAATGGAGGAAGAGCAGTGTTGTCAAATTTTAAGAAATTAGCTCTGCCTTGTCGAGGAAAAACGCCGTGTTATAATTTCTTCTAAATTAAGCCAACAAAATTTCATTCTTTTTTTTTTTTTTTTTTTTTTTTTTTTTTTTTTTAAAGGGAATGTTGAGATGACTGATCCTAAAACACTGATTTGGACTACATATTGCAATTCGGAAGTACAATTTCTGGCTCACCTATGGGAACACTTGGTGAAGGTACAGTGGTCTTGAAGTAAAAAAAAATGCGACAAAAACGTACCCAAAATCGGTTTCCAGAGGCTGATTCTATGGTGCGTGTGGACTAAAAATCGCGAAAAATCAAAATCTTGGCTGATCCCAATTTCGAGACACCGCAATTTGAAATTTGCATTGTAAATGCAAGTTTGCTACTGATTTTGATCCGCTTTTTTATTTATTTGTCCATTGAATCGGTGTTGATCGATTCACGTTTTTATTTTTCGTTCGGTTCATGTCGATCGAATACATACCATTTCGTTACATGCAGTCTTCCCGTCATACTCTTTTTTTTTAAATGAACAATTCGCCTTCTGCTGCGTCTGTAGCAATTGTTGTTACGAATATGTTGTGCGTGCTGATTTCAGTCCATTACATACTCGACTGTCTGAAGGCGTTTTATGTGCGCAAGTAGCTCAATCTGTTGGAGAACGAACGAAGTGGGATTGGGCGATTCGTTCAATTTCACTTCTGCTGTTCTCCAACAGGGTGCTCTACACTCTACTTTCGCACTTAAAACGCCTTCAAAGAGTCGGGTATGTAATGAACTAAAATCAGCACGCACAACATATTCGTAACAACAATTGCTGCAGACGCAGCAGAAGGCGAATTATTCAGTTAAAAAAAGGGTATGATTAGAAACCTACATGTAACAAGAGGGAATGTATTTGATCGACATGGATTGAACGAAAAAAAAGGTGAACAGCTCAACATCGATTCAATGGACAAATAAACAAAAAGCGGATCAAAATCAGTAGGAAACTCGCATTTTACTATACAAATTTAAAATTGCGATATCTCGAAATTAGGATCGGTCAATATTTTGATTTTTCGCGATCATAAGTCCACACGTACCATAGGGACTTAAATTAATGTGGACGTGACTTGTCTTTACTTTTTGATTCAGCCTACAAAAGGACGTAAGTACACATAGAGATGAGCCCGGGCAGGCATTGAGTTATATGGACTACAGGGTTCATCGCGAAGTGTCGATACGTCCCAGCGGCCAGCGGGCCGATTATTGAAATTGATAGTCAAAGCTATAGACAAAGCAGACACAGGGGGTATAAAGCAATTCTATTGGTTGAAATGGGTGGTTCTCAAAGACTGAGGGGGAAAATGATAGACTAACTGTCGGGTCTCTCGTGGGTTGCCGTTAGTTAGTCTATTACCTACCTCCTTTGTCCATTGCAACCGCCCGCTTCTACCAATAGGATCCCTCCAAATCCTTTTTGTCTTCTTTGTCTATTGCTTTGTCTATCAATTTCAATAATCAGCCCGAAGGAGGGTGGTAATTTGTCCGTTCTTTTTAGGGTACATGTTGAATGCTCTTACGTCAAAAATGCATAAAAAAGAAATGAGAGGTGAAAGAAAAATGAGACGAACCTGTTCCTGTTAGAAGCCCTGTTCCAAGCCACGGATGGAGGAAAGTGTATACTAGAGATTTGTCGATGTGTTTCGAACTTGCTAAAATGATCTGGAAATCACAAAGAAACAAAATGATGTTAGAAACGAAAATTTTAAGAATTATTGATTATTATTATAATTTTTTTTTTTTTTGGGGGGGGGTGACTAATCGTCTCTGAACATTGACCATCCGTAGATTCAGAGCTTTTCAATTTTCATATTCTCGATACAGCTTGGAACATCAGACTAAGTATGTAAATTTCGCTTCAAATTTTGTCTAAACGCTCCCTAGTATGTATACCCTTCAGAGCCTTCAGGTCAAAGTTTTAAGCCAAAAGCTATGAGCACAGTGAAAATAATGCAAGTATCAGATTGCGACGTTGCGAGCCTTAGCTCATATTTCATATTTTTAAAGAAAAACGAAAAATCAGTTTCTATTGAAAATTGGTGTGCATTCTCTATGTTCATTTTAAGAAAATCACACAAAATTGCAAAAAGGGATTTCAATTGGTTTTCTTTGAGGAAATGAAATATAATCGGAAATTTATAAATGTAGCAATTGAAACACGCATGTCAGCATTCAAGTCATTGTTATGCACACTCATTACGTGTGCCTGAAATGTATTGTATCTAAAGTTGGCTACAGCGCCCGCAAATTTATTTGCGTCCTCCTGAAATTCGTGACTCATCATCCTTCAACTTTAAAATGTCTCTAGGTGTCAATCGTTGGAATTTGTGGGCGTTCTTAGGGCCGAACGATACATAATTGATATTCCGAAGCCGCCGTGCAGTTATCTAATTTTCATGTACCTCCGTATCAAGAAACGTTTTGCTTGAATCCATCACCTATTTTAGAGGTATTTGATAGCTTGACCTTTAAAATAGGTAGATCATAAAACAGACGTGCGTAGTATTCGTTGCTCCTCGGACGTAAGGGCGTATCTCGATTTCTAAATGAGCCCCAGAGAGTATGAATTTACATACAAAACAGGGTTCACGTGGAAATTGAGATACGCCTTTACGTCAGAGGAGCGATTATTTTTGAGAGAATAATTATCACCATCGGCGCGGAACTCGGGGACCCCGCCAGAAAAATTTTCGACACTGTGCTCAAGAGCCCTCATTATATCCAAGTCATCATCTATTGGTTCCATTACACTAAAAGTTTTAAATTTTGAGATTTTTCTTGTCTGGGTAATTTACCTCTGCATGCTCTGGCCTGGTTATGTGTAAGACAGCTAACGGACCCTCCCAAGTCCTGAAAATTGGGCCCCATTTTCTCGTCCTGTCGTCAAATATTTTGAAAAATTCTGGAAAATATAAAATCTCAAGTGAATTTCAAACAAACAACAAGTGACAGGAGCAATACAGTGTTTTCTGGATAAATAATTGAACTGATAAAACGACTTTCAATGCAATAAATTTCAGCTCATGTATAGAGTGTAACCCCTTTCTACGTTTGTCTCTCAGATGAAGAGTGGATTCAGAAAGTAGGAAGAGAATGTTATTAGTTACTAGAGTGTTTGGATTCCTGAGGAGCATTAGATTTTAATCCGATTAAAATCCGATTTTAATGCTCCTCTGGAACCGGTGCGAGATTTCGGACGGCATTAATTGGACTGCATATTGCAATTTGGAACTATAGATTCTGGCTCTTCTGGAAAAACACTTATGAGCATAAGGAAACTAATAGCACGTACGTTGTTTTAAAACCGGGCTAGAATTTATAGTTCCAAATTGCAAAATGTAGTCCAATTGACGCTCAGCAGACGTAACCACCAACCAACCTTCTGCTGCCCAAATATTTTGAGACTATACAATACTGAAATTTTTGCAATAAAATCGTAATTTTTTACGTTGAAATTGCGATTTCTCCAAAGCATAAAATAGCAAAATTCCTACATCTTTTGGTTTTTTTTTTAAAAAAAAAACCCCGCTTTTAAACGCTCAGCCGATCTCAAAAAAGATTTACGTAATTTAAAATGCAAGGGAAAATTACAACTTAAGTACTCTATGCAATGAATTTTCTCTTTAGATGATGAAACGTAACTGCGCACCTCAGCGTTGCAAAATTTCCGCCCGCAAACTGTATTTTCACGAGAAAACTGTTGAAAATTTTCACTTGAAAATTTCTCAGATTTTTCCTCTGAATATATTTAAGAAGCGACAAAATTTCGAACAAATTTTTTTATTATTCATAACCGCGAAAAAAATAAAATTGTCCGAAAAATTTTTGCAAGCTTGTGAGTGAAGTTACCCTGGTAAAAATTGACGATAAGAGCTGCGTTTTAAAATACCATAGGAATTCTTATAGCCGGCTGAAGAAGGCTACAGAAAATCATATAGCTGGCTGTAGAATGCGGAGAAAATCATACGGCCAGACTATACGAAGCGATACAAAATTATACAGCCCGGCTAGAGTTCCTATAGCCGGGCTTTACACTTTATCGCCTGGCTGTTGCTTTTTCGCCATCGATTATAAAAGGCTATAAGAAATTGTGTAGAAATTCGTGTGCTTTGGAAATCATTAAGTTTGATACGGAACCACCTTAATATTTACAAAACACACGTTATATTCTCCTTTAATTCATATTTTTTCATCAATTAAAACAAGATTAATCCATACAGGATGTGCAAACATTTCAAAATCATCAGTTGAATAACGCTGACTCCGCCAGATTAAATATTAGAGCCTAACACAAAGCGGAGCGGCGACGCACTGGCGCCTACAAACCTAACAGGGATACTTCACGCATTGCGCAACGCGTGAAGTATCCCTGTTAGGTTTGTAGGCGCCAATGCGCGTTTCGCGCTGGCTGCCCGCCTGCCGCACCGAAGCGTGCCACGGCGCTTGAAGCAATTATTTCACACCAGAGGTATTCCACAGCATCATACGAAACTGAAGGCGCTCTAATATATTAGGAATGGCAGGCATCCATCAAAAGTACGGAACTTTCCTCACAAAATAAATCAAGAAACTACGGCCCAAAAAGAGAGCATTGGTCCAAAAACTCACTAAGTCCTAGCATCCGTAATTAGTGACGTTTAGCATACACTCTATCGCCTGGCTGTGAGTTGCTAAATCGCCATCGGCTATAGAAGGCTATAAGAAATTGTGTAGCCGGCTTTAGAGGGCTTAGAAGGTATTGGAAATCTTACAGCCGGCCGTAGGTCTATGGTATTTTGGAACACAGATTCTACTGCAAATATTTACCAGGGTAGAAGTTAATCGCAGCTTTACCCGTTGCTTAAATCTTGTTTTATTTGAAATATTGGTTAAGAAACATGTATTATGTGTATGTATAAGTCGCTTTTACGGCGCGCTAGGGCCCTCTCCACAGGAATCTGTCATGGTAGAGATCCTCGTAACATGTATTATAATGTTTAAATCGTACCTTATTACTGATCTATTAATAATAAATTGCAACTTGCGCTACTTGGGCACTGGTACACATTTTGGAATGTTTTGGTACATGTTGGGAACATTTTTAAATTCTCTGGAAATCATAGATAGAGAGGAAAGATTCAGATGCGGAACCAGCAATTTGGCAACATCAGATTTCCTCCATTGAAGCCTATGCTACATAATCGATTCTTGTCGGAGTACCTTGCATCTCCAAAAATCGATATATTTTCAGTGGTTTAAATCGAGAAAAGACAATGCTGCCAATTTGCTGGATCCGCCAATGGAAAAATCATACTAAAATGATATTTTGAAGGAGGTATTAATATACTTACGATTTCGTGGCACTGCGAGTTCCAATGAATTTCCGACTAGAGGGTATTCCTTTGGACCGGGTAACTTATTCATCGTCCGGACTAGTTGTATCCTTTTATTAGCATGCGTGAAAAAGTACATCACTATAAACGCTAAAAGCGTGGTTGTCAGCATCAAGGTAATCAACTCCATTTTCTGTAAGAAAAAATACGTATAATTATACAATATGTCGGAGTAAAAAATAAAACAGGAAAAAAGAGAGATAAGCAAGTGCAGAGCTACAAAATGCACAAGTGCACGAGTGCAGAGATTTCCTTCAGAAATGTGAATATGCAACCCCTTGACACTCGTGTCTGAATAGTTGCTTCTCGAAAACCGTGCGTTGCTTGAAGGAGCTTTTTCAATCCAGACCCTTTCAACGCTGAACGATGGGTGACCAGACACAGGTTTGATGGGATTACATGTTCGGAATATCAAGAGCAATTTTGCGGTCTTGTCATATTTAACGTCCCACGAAATTCGAAAATCTTTCACCACCAAATCGGATATTCGTCTCTTAAAGGGTTGGATTTAAAAGTTTGAAAGAAAAGAAAGGTTTAAAATACCAATTAATAAAGTCTACTAGAAACGGATTGAACTGGAATCAGCCTAACTACATTTCATGTTGCCTCATTTGCTCTCATGTTTTATTTTCTTTCAGGGAACTAAACTCAAGTTTGCCGGATTGTGTGAAATAACCTGGATATTACACATTGAGTTAAATGGGGGAAACGTGCTGAATTTTCAGCAAAAGCTGGCAAAAATGACAAAACTATACGTATAACGCCTAAAACTTCCCGTAAATGTATAGTTTCTTTTTTTGTTTTTTTTTTCCATGGCCAGGAATTACATCTATACAATTTGGAGTCAGAGTGTTGTTTAAAAAAAAATAAAAAGTGAGGGGAAATCAGGTGACATCTTAATATAGTTAGACGCATTGCAATTCGGAACTACACTCCATAGTTTTACGTAGAAACATTTATTTACACATGGAAACTAATGTCACGTATGTTGTTTCTAAACCGAGCAAGAGACAGTAGTACCTCGTCACAGAATGTTTTCCAATTGATCATTCGAATTAAACAGAGAGGTTAATGACATGAGATTATTCGTACTCTTGCAAAACTAACAGAGAATTTTTTCACAATTAACGTATTTATGCTAAAAACAACTATTAGCAGAGGGTTTGCGTGCAATATAGTTCCTTTTGGTACAAATACGTCCAAATTATCTCCCTCCGGATAGTTTTTCGGTATGTCGGAGTTTTTTGCCAACGTGCGTAAAAAGTTCAGCAAAAAGCTGAAAATCTCAATACAGAGGGAAAAAGCTCGTATGAGCATCGTTTTTCCTCGAAGAGACACGCTGTTTGGTGCAAGCACAGTTTTTTTTCCATGCAAACCGCGAAAGTGTCGACTCGAGAATGGGAGTCAAAACCGGTCGATCACTGCCAAAGTCAAGGTTACGGTGGAGTAGGTCAGGAGTATCGGAAACGCTGCTGCTGTGAGATTAGCTCGCATTATCTTGTTGGATATGCAGCGTTTTTTAAGCGCGTCGCGTCGCTTGACCCCAGTGGAATGCACCCAACAGCTGTTCCACACTACTGATAAGAGATAACGGGTCTTCCACGGAACTTTTTACTATCCTAGACTGCGCGGAGCGCAGAGGTATGAATGAAAAACGAGACAATCATTGCTTTTCCCCGCGTTTGAGTGTCCCGTTCTGTATAGAGTTGATTTTGCCCCAGTGGCGCGGCGCAAAGTGGATGGAGTCAATAGGACAGGTCGGACAAAATTTCGTTCATTGAAAACACATTGCACACTAGGGCAACATCTTGCCATAAGTAACAAATATTCATTAAAGAGCCATCTACATTAAGAACGTAATGGCACTATTCGTTGTCTCCCGCACGAAGGAACGCAACTTCATCCCAAGGTTGCCAAATTGACTCAACAATTAATTTATTTTACAAAAATGTACGCAAGCAATTTGCATCCAAAATATATCTATTTTTTGCTTCGAATCTAGAGAAATATCAGGGAAATTTTCAGTTAGAAATGCCCAAGATTCTCTTGATTAATAGGCAATTTGCGAGGGGAAATTCGGCAACATTGAAATGGAGTTACGTTCTTTCGCTCGGGAGACAACGTATTGTTTCTGCAATGAGTCAGGATTAGTAGTTCCAAATTGCAAAATGAAGTCTATTCGGACGTATTTCTGCCCAACGGAACTATGTGCTCTATGACGTGAGCCCTGTTATGCATACATTCTTATGGGTCTCAGGGCTCATGGCTTGATGCACATAGTTCCGTTTGGCAGAAATGTGTCCATTTGTGAAAAAGTTGCGGAAAACGTCGTCGGTATAAACTCAAATCGTGCAGCACAGTAAAAATAATCCGTTTCGAAGTAAAAAACATAGCTTTTCAGTTTCTGATGTTAAACCTTTTCTAAAACTCCAAAGAACATGGGATCGAAGTCTGTCCTCAATTCGCAATTTTAATAATGCTATCAGCGTTTAAACTGAAATGTTATTACTCATAAAGCTAGCAAACTGTAACCGCGTTTCTCTCGAATCCCTTGTTTTTTATCCGCATACTTTAAATCACTGTCAGAGTTAATTTTTGGAATTTTAGGGTGCCTTTTTCACCAAATAATGCAGATTCAACCCCTTTGAGTTGGAGTGTAGCTCGTTCTCCCCCTCCCCTAAATCTAGAGTCACATCTGGACAGAATTCATCAAACAATTATTGACACTTTAACTACCCTCAATGTAATATGCAACTGTATTAATTCTGTTTTGACCGTATGGGGGTCTGTTGTCACAGGTTTAGCAATCCTGCGGACCCCAGCTGGTAGCCCCTGCCTCAAAGGGGGCAGTGGAGATGGTCACCGGCCTCTGGGCGTATGAACCACCTGCTAGAAGGGCAGACAGGGCTCTGAGCTGAAGTGAAAGCAACCTGTCTAGGAGAGGCAACTCCGAAATCAAACCCTGGTCCTCCAGGTTGGGGGTTGAGGCATCGGGCTAACTCCCCGGTACTTGTAAAAAGTTTTACTGTTAAACGACCTAATAATACAAGCCTCGGTACCACTAGAACTAAACGGACACGTCGACAAAAATTGAGAAAACGGACAATGGTATTTGGGACGTGGAATGTCCAAGGCATTTCAAATAAGTTACCGGAAGTGATATCGGAGATTCAGAAACTTGGAGTGGATGTCGCTGTTCTTACTGAGACCAAGAAAAAAGGGCACGGGTCAGAGAATTACGGTGACTATGATCTATTCTACAGCGGCGTAGCCAAAGATCAGCGTGCTCAGCAAGGAGTAGCAATACTTTTGCGGAGAAGCCTACGTAAGTTCGTGGGCACTTGGGAGGCCGTCAACCAGCGCATTATCAAAATGAACCTTAACCTGTACGGACATAAGATCACGCTGCTCGGAGTATACGGTGTAAATGATGATGCCACTGTCGCATGTAAGGACCAATTCTTCGAAGATCTGAATGATGAAATACTGAACGTTGGTGCTGGCAGGGAAGCC